AGTTAAGTACTTAGGTGTAATACTTGACCGGAAATTAAAATGGAGACACCACATAGAGGATAGGATCAACAAGGCACATCGGTGCTGGGCGATATGTAGGAGAACCATAGGCATGAAATGGGGTCTTAGTCCTACTATGACAAATTGGCTTTATAAAAGTGTAATTAGACCAATTCTAGTTTATGCTTCAATAATCTGGTGGACTGCTTTGGACAAAAAGTGTAATATCAAATTACTACAGGGAGTTCAGCGTACATGCTGCTTGGGTATAAGTGGTGCCATGTGTACTACTTCAACCAAGGCTCTGGAAACGTTGCTAGATATTCCACCCATTGAAACATATATAAGATATGAGGCGGCGCTTACAGCCGAACGGCTCTTTACTTTAGGCGAACTGGCCAAAAACGGTTATAGGACACGTCATCAATGTATACTGGACACATTGGAAGGTTATACACATTCATCGGACGTGCCTGATCGCATACCAGACACTGAATATGTCGGAAACTTTGAAACGCTAATCCCAGATAGAATGTCTTGGTCAAGCGGAACATTAGAGCAAATACCAGTAGGAATCCGTTGCTACACGGATGGCTCTAAATTAGGGGACAAAGTGGGTCTGGGGTTCTATATTGAAGACCCAGAAACAGAAATATACCACCGTTTACCTAATCATAACACAAGCTTCCAGGCAGAAGTACGAGCAATAACGGAATGTGTAAATTGGATTAGAATAAATATGGCGCCCACAGGGCTTAATATATTTACCGACAGCCAGAAGGCAATTTGTGCGATATCAGGTGATAGAATTAAATCTAAGACCGTATTGGATTGTAAGAAAGCTTTAACTGAATACTCTCCCAGAGGTAAGGTTCACATCATATGGGTACCAGGCCACTCGGGAGTAATCGGCAACGAAAGGGCGAATGCAATAGCTTTAAAGGGAAGGGAGCTCGATGTAGTTAACCTGACAAACGCAAAACCATTCGACGCAACAAAAGCTGAATTAAAAATATGGATGAGAGAATCCCATAAGGCCTCTTGGAATAATGAAACGGTGGGTAGAACCACAAAGATTCTATGGGGTGACCCTGATGAGAGCAAGACGAGAAATCTTCTCAAAATGAGCAAGTCTGAGGTTAGTATGATGGTACGTATTCTCAGTGGACACACAGGATTACGAGCACATCTATACAAAATTGGACGTGCGAATTCAGACGAATGTAGAGCATGTGGAGAGGACAGTGAAACTCTGGAGCACTTTCTTTGCCATTGTCAGGCATTCGTCGAAGTTAGATCCAAGTATCTTGGAAGTGATGTTATTCCGGAAATAACATTCTTAACCAACACCGATTGGAAGATTCTTAGGAATTACGTCCAGGAAACTGAGTTTCTGAACATTCAGTAAACAATTTTTTTTTTTTTTTTTTTTTTTTTTTTTTTTTTTTTCTTGAATTGGAGCGCACAACAGGCCCGATAGTGGCCTAGGTGTATTTCTTCGGATTTGATGTAGTATACATCCTCCTATCAACCTAACCTAACCTAACCTATAAGATTCTAAGACGATATAGCCATGTCCGCCCGTCTGTCTGTTGAAACAGTTTTTTAAGAACCGAAATCTATGTCGATTGGTCCACAATTGATCATATTACAGCCATATAGCCCCTTTTCAGGAAAATAATTTTATTATCAATAAATAGCAAATTAGTTAACCTTAGTATAATAGAAGGATTTATCCATAACGTAAACTATATAGTACGAAAGTATTTGGAAATTTTGTCTAATTACGTAAAAGTAAACCATTGATTCTTTGGAACAAATCATTGTATGATATTACATATTAGTTTTAAAAATAATGAAACTCTAAATAGAAGCAATTTTCCCTAAGAAAAAATTTGGTAGTTTTTGGAACGTTTTGGTAGTTTTTTGTCGGAACTTTGGTAAGAAAAATAAATTGTGAGTGGCAACGCTGTTGTCTATTTTAAGCCAAAATACGATTGATTAAAATTTTGTGGGAACCAGATATTTGGAACAAGCAGGAAATTACCAAATCGAATTAAACGTGATTCTGAGTCAATTGGAATACTTTAAGTAGAGAGCAGTGTTGAAATTTACATTTTTTAAAAAAATTAAATTTTTCCCCTACGCCGATAAAATTTGCGTTATTAATTTTATAATAAAAATTTTATAAATTAATCTCATAGTTTTACTCAATAATAGTTGCTGAATATAATAATGAATATCTGTACAAACTATGTGCATCATTTCATCATCACATTGATAATGATGAAAACACTACGGAAAGGCTGCCCAAAAAATCACAACATGATTATAGTCAATATACTATAGACCATCAGGTATGCTTGAGGACATTCCTGAATTTTTTAGTCAATATTTGAAAGGAACTAATTTTATAAAAACTTTTCAAGGTTTTAAGAAACCAAAACTTGTCACAACATTAATTTTCGGTGACTATTGTAGACAATTTTTTTTAATATTAATGTGTAATAATTTTGACTAAATATTAACAAAATGGCCATCCCTCAAGCTAAAGCAAGACTTTAAATTCTAACATCATATAAAAGTTCTTTGAGAGACGCTTTCAAAGACGTATCATCATAGTTGAAAAATATTAAAAAGTTTATTCGGAAAAATTTTACAGTTATTAAATTTCTACCTAGATTGATGTAATTAATTGAAATTAATATATCATAAACCTTATTAAATTTCACCAAAAATTTTTTCAGGATTTTCTAGAGTATCAAAGAGTTTGAAGTAATAATAAAAAGATATTTAAAAAGACAATCTTACCTTTTACAGAAGTAAATAGAGCTCAACAATTATGGATTTAATTAAATTTTTTATTAAATTTATATTATGTATATTATTTATCATTTAACTTTTCAAATTACTCTATTATAATTTTTTAATTATGTAACTAGAACATTATTTTATTTTAATTTTTATTTAATTCAAATTGCTTTTATAACCGCTTTAATTTTATTGCCTTAATAACGATTAAAAATAACCAAATTAACACATCACTAATTCCTATGCATTTTTCTGACATTTCTTTCATTTCAGAAATCACTCACTTAACTGTCTCAAGCTACCAAAAAAGAAGAACAACAACACAAATAAATAGCGCATACAACAACAAAACAATAGAAAAGCGCCAAGGGATTAACTACGATAACAACAACAAATTTTGCAATGACTGGCCAATTTTTTGGCATAATATGACTTTACTAAACTTTAAACACATTTTTCACTTTTATTTTTTATGATTTTAATAAACTAACATTAGATTAGTATACTTTAACAATTAAATTTTGAGATTATTACTATTTTTTGATGCAAATAGCGCTTTTAATATATTATTTTAATAAAAATAACAGGAAACTCTATTTAACAACGACTTTAGGAAACACGGCGATTATAAAAACTAAAAAAGAAGGAGAAAATGGGTGGCCAGATTGTTTATTTTAAGGCAAAATATTAAAGATTAAAATTTTGTGCGAATTTGATATGTATTTGGGTATTTTGAGTATTTATTTAGGGGATAAGTGATTATTATCGTTATTATTTATAAATATTTACAAAGTAGAAACTAGGATATAAACTAATATTCGAAGCAGTTATTAGGTAGATGCTATGACCAAATCCGGAACGATTATTAAATAAAATATTTATAATTTCTTCCAAATTCGGAGTCGATTGAAATACTTTAAAAAGATAAAATTCAAAATTTTATTGGTCCCATTAATCTCTTTGCATTACTCAAAAAAGTAGCTTCTGTTGCATACATGATAATAATGAATATCTATACAAACTACATCATCTCATCGTCACATTGATAATGATGACAACACTACGGAAAGGCTACCCCAAAAAACACAACATGATTATAATCAATATACTATAGACCATCAGGTATGTTTGAGGGCATTCCTGGATTTTTTGGCCAGTATTTGAAAGGAATTAATTTTATAAATACTTTTTAAGATTTTAAGAATCCAAAACTTGTCACAACTATAATTGTAGGTGACATTTGTAGACAAATTTTGAACCATATTACTTAAAAGTATTAATGTATAATAATTTTGATTAAATATTACGGTGTAACCCATTCCTCAACCTAAAAAGGTAATTTTAACTTTCACGTTTTCTTACTCAACTTGATTTGAAATGTCTTTAAAAACCTGAACTTCAAAAAACGATTTAATAGCTTTAAATACCTGCCACTAGTAAGTAACTCCAACATGATTGAATTTGTATTATTGGTAGCACTCATTTTTTTCGCTTTTGTATGTCTGGTGGTCTTTGGTCTAATAGTACTAGAATCAGCAAAAATTTGTTACTTTTTAAATTTTTTTTAATCATTTTGTCTACGATGAGTACCATATCAATTAAAAAAAAAACTTCATCTGTTGAAAATATAAAAAGTAGAAAAATAAAACTCTCTCTGAATAGGGAAAATGACTACGAGATTTTCAATCAAATTTTTCTAAGACTAGTTTTTAATAGAAATTTGCCAGTAACATGAAAAACAAAGAACAACAAGTGGGTGGTGAAAAGTGAGTGCCGTAGGTTGTGATTGTATTATTATCGTCAATGTCATCATTGTAATAACGGGTAAGCGTGTCTGAATAGCATCTATTTAATTGCTCACAGGTAGATGAATAAGCAGTGATTGACTAGAACAGTGAGTTTTATTGTTAATCATTAATTTAGGAAATGATTAAAGCATTTGGGGGCACTTGCTGAAGGGTTTAAAGAGAACATATTTTAAATAGTAGACAAATAGAAGTGATGTTTTTAAGTTTTTATGAAAAACACTCTTAATTTAAAGTTATTTAATAACTGGCTCCAGTAGTATATAAATATAAATTTTAAAATATTATTAAAATAATATTGCTGATTACAAAAAAACATACGCTGTTCTAAAGTCGTTCATATACATACATATGTACATAGTTTAATATAGAATTATGCCAGTCTTTTAGTAAATGATCGATATGAATAAATATTTATTAGCTAAATCAGGAATAGTTACATAATATTATGAAATAATAGCATAAACCGGATCTTTAATCTTAAAATTGCCTTCTTGAAAAACTTTGTAATATGCACCCAAGGTTGGCTCTTTGGAATCATGAATTAAACGATATCTGAAAATAAAATTTAAAAATATAATTCCGATTACACAAACAAAACAGATTTCAAATCGTTAGCTGTTAATACATTTTTTAAATAATGATCGTCAAAATATTTCTGAAATTATCAAACTTTTTTTAGAAAACTTTTGGGAAATTTTTGTAATTTAAATTTTTACCATACTTTTGGAAATATTTCGAACATACTTATGTATAAAGAAGATATCTGGGATCTTCAGAAAATTATTTTCAAAAAACCACAGATAGCTTAATCGAATTCGCAATATATAAGAATTCAGAATATATTAGTTAAATTGTAAAAATTCCAAACGAAATTACAAAGTTGTATGTACTAAGGTAGATAGTAGATAGATCTTATATATTTCCCATAATTTTAATATTGTTCAAATTTAAAAACATTTATACTTACTCTTTCAAAGTCTTTAATGGTTCGAAAGATGGATTCCTTTTACAAGTATTTATATCAATATTCGTTAATATACATCTTAAACAGGGAGCCTCATAACGCAATATACAATTATCGGCCACATTCTCCTCACCAAATCTCAGCCATTTCCAGTTATCTTCAGCATAGGACTTAATATTATTCAATGAATTAATCAAAACATTTCCACGAAATTGTAAATGATGAACATGATTTTTTGTAGTTAAACGTTGATTCAGATCAGTAACCGATTTATTATGCATGACCATAACGGGTATAAACATCTGAAAAAAAAAAATTACATTTGAATAACCAAACTAAATCACTTTATTTACATATTACTTACAGTTTTATCTAAATTATATTTGGATTCGTTATTTATGTTTAAAAACAATTTTAGTCCCACAGATTTATTTAAGATCACCTTTGAAAACCATTTATGATGTTCTGGCTCACCCTCCACCAGATGACATTTATTTGCCTTAACATATTTCACTGTGATTTGTTTCGTTTTTAATTCATCCAAATTTAGGTTTAACGTTTCCATGCCGGGAGCCTTAATAACTAAAGTGTTATTAGGTCTCACTTCGGTGTTAATACTTAACATTTTTGGATAAGTGCCGGCATAAATAAAGTGGCCCGTTTCATCACATAAAACCAAACAGCGATCTTTCAGCTCGTCTATATACAAACCATCAACTTTGCATTGTACTTGTTGTAATAAAAGCGCGGCACCAGATTTAACCGGATACATAGCTATTTCTTCTACCGTACCAATTAATTGCCATTTGGCATTTTTGGGTGGTTGAAGTAAACGTTTCCTGCGATTGTTATAGTATGTTATATAGGTTAAACCTATAGCACCCAAACTAGCGCCTATTATTGTATACCAAAGATTTGTTCTCATTTCTAAGGCGGTGTAAAATATTATAAAAACTATTTTTTTATAGTTTTAGATAATAACTCAAACTATATTTTTGTGTTATGTTCTAACTGAAAATTATCTAAAATTCACTTTTCCCGATAAGATCTTTATAAAGTTAGACACTTTTGTTGCTCTTTCAATACTCTTCGAGGGGAAAAATTGATTACAGTGTAAACATTATTTGTACTATATATATAATTAGGAGATATGTAATAATTTAAATTGTCATACTATATGTTTAAATATGATATATAAATATTAGACTAATCTATTCTAAAACAAGTAATGGTGCCCTATTCGTCTAAGTCGAATATTAGATACCACTTCATCATAGCACATTTATAAAAATTATAGTTTTTTTTTTTAATTTTAATGTTTGTTTTTTTATTTTTGAAAATATTTTGGAATATACCTATCCCGAGAACTTTATTATTTTCCTATACATTGAATCACATGAAAGGCTGCAAAAGTAAATTTCTTGTGATATATATTAGTGCTGTAATATTCTACTACTTTTGATTACTCAATACTACTCAATACTTTTCGTTTGGGTACTCAATACTACTCGATACTTTTAAAGGTTTTATTTTAAATTAAAAACGAGGAATTTTTCCTTTTTTAAGTAAAGTTAGACCAGACATCACACCACTTTTGAGACATTTTATTTTTTTAGATAGCGTCGATAAATATTTGTAACTTTTTAACTATTATTGCAGTTTTTAAATTATTTTTACATTGATTTGATATTGCTAAGAGTTGCATTTCTAATAATGATATGGTTTATATTAGATTTTAGAGCTGTATTTTTTCACATCACAGCCGTTAAATTTAAATAAGTTAAATCCATATACAAGTCTGAAAGTATTGAGTAACTACTTTTTAGTATTGAGTACCCAAAAAATAGGGCAAATACTCGATACTCGATACCCACTACTCAATACTTTAACAGCACTAATATATATATATATATATATATTACTTTAAAGGATTATAAACGCAAGGAAAAACTTAAGTGGCACATTTCTCACGAAGGTTAAGGATATAAAAACTTAAAGAAGCTTTCACAAGTTCTCGCAAGCACTACGTACATATTTTTTTAAAGCTTTTTACAATAGACGGTGGGTGATGAATAAAAAAAAGAAACTAAATATAGTCTTTCAATTCAACAATATGAATTATGGACCAGAATTTCTCTATCACATTAGATAATGTGTCCTAAATAATAAAATACTCCCGTTTTGCCAACCTTATGATTTAAATCTGTTATGTCATTTGATAACCAAATCTGTCGACTTCAAAATAGGGTTTAAACATCTCTTGTGTCCCTTCCCTACTTGAGGATATATAAGAAGTTAAGCATTTACTTTAAAGGCGACCGATTTTTTTTTTAATTTTTAAGTATCTCAAAGATATTGGAGAAGATCAATTTCTTTATCAAGTACTGGACAAGTAAGTTTATTCATAACACTACAAAACTGTTTTACTATATGTTTTTTAGAATTTCGATCGAAAAGTTTTCAATTTTCGAAAATTTTCGTTTTGCTACCTAGTACCTATAGCAGTTGTCATTGTGATCAATCGGTCTGTCTAAAACTTAATGTTAACATTGGTAATTTAAATTTTTTTAAACAAATTTCCCCATTATAGAGTGTTTAATAATTCGTTATCAATTATTTAGTTGCTTTATAATAATATATTTATCATCTTATTTTTTTATTTGTTTACCTCTTCGCCTCCTTTTCCTTATCTTACTAGACAATTCCTCTCACATATTTAGTACTCTCCGGTCGTTTTGTGTTTGATGAAAGTTTACTTCTTATTGATTTTGCACAGTGGGTTATTGTTTATAGTGTTTATTTAAAGAGAATGTCTAAGTGATAAGTTAATAAAACAGATATTTTATTAGTTTTAGAAAAAAGAAGGTACTGCGGGGAGCTTCATTACTATCTTATCAGTCATATTGTTCTATCTATAAAAAAAATTTTTGACTGAAATGTAAAAACAATTTTTTTCTGATTACCTACTTAAAATACTAGACTAAAATGACCCTAAATATTTCATCAAGTACTACTTCCATTCTTATAAAGACAATTGTAATTCATTAAAAGTTTATACAACAAAATTTTTATAAAAATCATTTTTTAAAATTAGAAAATTATAAAACCTTTTCAGAATATAAAATTTCAGATAATAGGAAACATATTTATATCTCAAGTTTTAGTAAAATTAAATAATGTTCATCCATAAAGTGTGAAATTTACACATAATACAGATCCACATTTATTACACCAAAAAAAAAACGATATTAGCCCTAGCAAAGTGCCAAATATTTGCAAAATCCCCACTGTGACTAGATTTCATACAGTGAATCAACTAAGTTTTTTGCCTACCTTTTTTTAAGAGAATTTTGTTTTTTGTTCATAAATAAAATTAAAAAAAAAAAAAACAGGTAAAAAGTAAATTTATGTTTTCCAATTGAAAATAGAGATTATGTAGAATGGGAAAACCAGGAAAAAAATATAAAAATAAAAATTTTGGTGCATTTGTTGTTGGATTTTATTATTTTTCATCAGAATTTGCACGGCAATAAAGTATTTTGCATATTGAAATTTCCTGTTAATTTCGTTGGGGTTTTCAAATTATTTTTTAATTGCTTTTTGGAATTTATTGTTTTATTGTTAAAAGGACACGTGTTAAGTATTTTTCAATTGTAATTTTCAAAAATCATATCCTTATTGTGTGAAACTGTGTAGTTATTTGCATCAAAAATGTTTAAAGGGAAATAATGAGGCAATTCCAATATAAAAAATTAGTTTAGATTTTTAGAACAAGTATAAATCAATGAAATTCAATTATGAGATGTTTAATCAATCATTAAAAAATATAAAATATAGAAATTGATGAAATAACACAAAGAATTATTAAAAAAAACGCACTGAGTTGTCCTTCAAAATCTTTAACTGCCAAAGGAGAGCGACGTGTATCCAAGCAAAAACCATTGAAGTCCTCATTTTTCTTCTCCAAAGTCCATATACGAACTTAAAAGAACACTATGTGTAAATTTAGACCTCTAAACAGACCTTAGGTTGCTTGGAAACAATATAAAGTGAACTATCGTGTGGTACGGGAAAAATACTTAATTTAGATATTTACAAGTAGAGGCGGTTCTCATCACCTAAGATCCACAAAAGCAATATTTTTCAGCTAATACATACACTTATATATAGTTAGTACCCAAATCAAGAATAACTATCCAAATCCAACTACGCCTACTGTATTTTATTCATTAAATAATGCATTCAAAATATGATGTAGAATATCAAGATTCTAGCATGTAATAGTTCTATAGTGGTATACGGTGATATCCCCATACTTAGAGTGGTTAGGATGGTACTTAGTGTTAGCTTTATTGAATAAGAATCAATATTATACAATTCTAAATAAAATTCACACAGTACTCCCCAAATAGATGGGGTCTCCGTAATGTAGTTTTTGTTTATCAATACAAAATGACCAAAAACCCAGATTATTTTTGTTATAATCTATAGATTTATACCCCACTAAAATTTTTTTCTAGGTCCAAATCCATTGATTTCCTAATATATCATGTATCCAATTCAAAATTACTTATTATTTTCGAAATTAAATCAAAGAAACGATAGATTTCATGTTAAGTCAAATATTGAAAAATTCTTATAGGTATATAGGATAATAAATCAGTTAAGAAATGTCCAAACTTAGACGTTCCACTACTAAAATATCTAAAAAATGCTATTCTAATACATAGGAGTAATAAAAATATTAAATTTTATAAAATAATGCAGCAATATTAAAAAAAATGAACAAAAAACCTAAAAAAGCAAAATACTTTATTGACCTTAAAAATTAACAATACGTTCACATTTTATCAAAAATCTCGTTAATTAATATCACGATTTTACTTTTTATGGTAGAAAATTAAAATATAAGATATTCTTTAAAAAGTACAACAAACAAATTGCTTTATTTTGCTAAAAATAATTGTTCAGATAAAGTTTTTTCTTAAAATTTATAAAATTTTACATAGGCAAATTACTTAATTGATTCACTGTATGTATATACCTGTTATAGGTATGCAGAAATGATTGTACTCAAAACAAGAGAATGAAAATCCAAAACAAACATATAAACCAACCGGTATCGCTAATGAAATATATACTGCACATTTTAAACGTTTCTCTTTTTTTCTACTGATGGAATTATACCCCCTCAGACATTTATACAAATGTTGTTGGTTTTTTTCTGTTTTGCTGCCTAGTATGTTAGTTGTTGTTATTTGCAAAATCTTCGTCTGGTTTATTTGTCTGTAGATGACTTGAATGAATTTCCATTTGAAATGTTTGCTTTAGTTTAAAATTGTGAACCTAAAGTTTATCATCATTTAGCGTTACAATTGCGTCTTGTTTTTTTTTAATAAAGAGAAAGAAAAAGCATAATAATGTCCAGTAGGTTTTTGATTTTTAAGAAAATGTATTTTTAAATTAATTAAAAATTAATTATTTTCTTAAAGCTTCCAGTGCAGCTGCTAATCGGGCCCTGTATGTAGGTCTAGGTTTGGGTGCTACGATGTTAACTGGTGCATTATCGTATATCTATTACAAGTACTTGAAACGTGATATTATGCCTTTAAAATGGCGTCGTGTTGGTACATTGGAACAAATTAATTTATTTCCCATTAAATCATGTGCCCCACTGGAAGTGTCAGCTGAGGAAGAGCTATTATGTGAAGTATTGGGTCTACGTTACAAAGGCATTAGAGATCGTGCTTTGATGTTGGTTAATGATAAATATGAAATGATTACAGCCCGTGTTTATCCCAAATTGGTGTTGGTTTTCTCTAAGTTGGTGGGTGAAACAAAATTGATATTAACCGCTGAGGGTATGGAACCTTTGGAATTAGATTTTGCTACTTTGGCCGATGAGGCACCCGGCAAAGATATACACACTTCGGTGTGGGGTACAAAATTAGATGCCATGTTGTGTGGTGAGAAATATGACAAATGGTTTTCACGTTATCTTTTGGGTAAGGAGTCGGGATTGCATTTAGTTTATTATCCATATCCGAAACCAGTAAGATCGGTGAATTCTCGTTTGACCAAAGAGCCGTTTATAACTAAAGAGGATTCGGTGAGTAAATAATTTTACGTGAAACTTTTCAAAATCTTAATACTTGAACAAAGAATATTAAAATCTAATGGTAATATTATATTATTTCTTATCATTATCTAAATTGCTTGTATAAACAAACAATATAAATATAACTTTTTTTCTTTTAATTTCTATTTACCCGCATACAACTAGGGTACCTTTGGCGATGCAACCAGTTATATGCTAATGAATTTAGCTTCTGTGGAAGATTTAAATACACGCTTACCTAATTCAGTGGATCCTTTACAATTTCGTGGTAATTTCCATTTGAAAATGGATACCAATAAAGCCTATGCAGAAGATAAATGGCAATGGGTGCGTATAGGAGATGAAGCTGTTTTTCGTAAAGTAGCACCATGTACGCGTTGCATATTCCCCAATATCAATGTTAAAACTGGCGAAAGAGATCCCAATGGCAATCCACTAAAAGAACTGAAAAGGTAAATAAATATGATCATTTTATAAAAAGAATATATTTTTATAGCTATTTACTTATTTTTAGCTATCGTTTAATAAACGACAATGTCAGTCCCACTTTGGGTATACACTTGGGTTTGAGACAAGCTGGTACTATCAAGGCAAATGATGTCATTTACGTAGAAGATGTTGAATGAATAAAACATTTGATTTTTTTTTATTAATATTATTGTTAAATTGAAATTAAATTATTGTAATTCTCCTATATTTGTTGAAATTTATTGTATTACGTTTCTAATTTTTTATTAATAAAGTGTTGCTTTTATAAATAAACATATTAGTTACTTTATAGTATTTTTTTATTAATTTAGTTTTTACTTGCAAATTAATTTTACAATGGAATATTATTTAACTATTTAGAATTTTCTTTTTAAAGCTTTTCACATTAGCTTTCTTTTACGTTTTTGTTTTTATATAATACATATATAAAATTATATTTTCTAAATAGATTTTATACAAAAACATTGACCAACAATAAATTTTACTTTAAAATAAAAAAAAAATGAGAATAAAATAATGTTTTACATAAAAATTTAACTTATTTTATTAGAAAATTATAAATAGAAATTTTAAGGCTGAAACCAAAAAATATAGAAGTCGTTTTTATTAAATCTAACGATTCTCTACTATGTTCTCTGACTCTAGTTATAAACACTACAAAACTGGAATTTAACAAATATGAATGTTCTGAATCAGATCTTTAAGAGTTTAGATTATTTAACCTTTCGAAGTTTAAAGGAAACATTTAACATGGCAGGTCTTGTCTTTTCTTGTTAATATTCAAACATTTTTGCAGTGTTTTTACATTTCTTTTACAATTTTTTTCTTTTTTTTTAATTCTTGAATATATTTAATATCATACCATTTTGAATACCTTTTTTTTTTTGAAGAAAATGAGAAAATCTTACAAATATTGAACTGATAATTTTTTTCATATAAATATAAAAATATATGTTTGCATATGATAAAATGGTATTTCATAGTCATAATTTAAAGTGTTTATGATTTTAGGCTTTTAAGCTTTCTTTGAAATTAAACTTTAAACATTTACTTATGACCACGAATTACCCTTTTAAGTTAATAATAAGAGTTTAATATTTTTCAGGCTTAATTCCGAAGTTATTGTTTTGTTGTCTATGCTAGACATCCTTTCCAGGCCAAACCGCCACAGGCCATGCTGACAATAACATAAAGTACGAAAATTATAATAAGACCAACAATTACGTATAGACGTACATTTTTCCAAAACATTTGTCGGGCCAGATTACGTGAAGCTTTGCGAAATGCTACAGACTGAAAAAAGATGGGAAATTTTCATAATGTAAATGATTTCTGGCAAAAATTCTTTTAAAAATTAAATATATGAATATTTTTGGAAAAAAGTTGTTAGTTAGTTAGTTAGTTAGTTAGTTAGTTAGTTAGTTAGTTAGTTAGGTAGTTAGTTAGTTAGGTAGTTAGTTTGAAAGGAGGATGAATATACATCAAATCCGAAGAAATACACCTAGGCCTCTATCGGGCCTGTTGTGCGCTCCTTAACCAGTGCCTCAGGTGGGAATCGAACCCACCACCTCCGGTCTACCAGACTAGAACACTAACCTACCGGAGGCCAGAGAAGTATGTACTTTTTGGAGAAAATTTAGATTTAATTTTTGGTGAAAATTTGAATTTTTAGTGATAATTTAAATATTTATCAAAAAAATTTAATTTTAATTAAAATGTTGAATTTTTTAATTTAATATTTTTATAATAAATTTAATTTTTGTTAAAAATTAAAAATCGTGTGAAAAATTTAAATATTTTTGGTAAAAAATCTAATTTATAGAAAAAATAAAAATCCAAAAATCGAATTTTAAATAAAAAATTTTGATTTTAATATAAATTAGAGTTTTATATACAAAATTTTGAGTTTTTACAAAATCCACATTTTAGATTTTTGGAACAAAATACATAATAAAAATCGCATTTGGTAGAAAAAAGTTTTTGGTGAAAACCTTTTATAATAAACGGATATTTCTAAATTAAAATATGTAATTTTTCCAATATTTCTAAAGAATCCCCAAGGATTAAGATAAAAAATAAACTATTTTTACTAAAAAGTTATTAAAAATCTACTTACATTGTTACTTAAATTTTCTGTCTTATTAACCAGTAGTTCCAATTTTTCACCACGATCTCTAAGATTATCTAAAAAGAATATTAAAAAGAAATAATATATTTAAAAAAATAATTCATTTATATTAGTTTAATACTCACCAATATTTTTAACCATAATATCTTTTAATTCATCAATTTGTCCATGTACCCGAGAAATGGCATCGACCTCATTCGATTGACTAAAGAAAGTCATTTGTTGAGCCAATACCTTAGAAAATTCCGTATTCATGGCATAGGCGATGGCAGTGGCCACGGTCAAACCATAAGTTTGTATAAATTTCTGTTTAATATCAGCCAAAAATAGAAAAGCTCGCGACCTTTCGAATTCCTAAGGAAGTTAATTAATTTAAACAAAAAAAAAACAAGATAACATAAAATTTTGATCTAAAACTTACGTTGTCGGTGATGCACATATAAATCAATTTATGTTCACACACATAATGTATCAAATAGTCGCCATGAGAGTAGGTCAATTTGTGGTTATCCATAGTGATCTTGGAGATAATTTGATCTGTTACTTCAGCGAAATTTCCTACACACTCAGCATACTTGGCAAGTACGGTGGTGCCGCGCGAGATTACGGAATATAAAATGGGCATAATGCCAGGTTTAATAAATATAATACAAGTAGAATTCTGGAAAAAGTTGTGAAATTTTTTCTGTAATATCCACTTCCCCTCCCTTTTGTGTTTGTTTATAGCTAGCTGTCTTAAAAGGGAAGACCTAAAAAGTTATAATTTTGATTCATTGGTGTGGGTTTTTTGTAATACAATACTTTATATTCATTAGCAAACTTGCATTGTTTTACTGTAAAATAATTAAAATTTTTGTTTGTCTTAATCTAAGATTACTCACCACAATGGGTACTTTTTGTTTTCTTTCTTGAATGTTGATATTTTTTTGGACAAAACCGATGCTAGTTTTTTCTCTTTGTTTGCCGATGTTTACCTTTTACTTTTCTTTTTTTAAAAGGTTATAACTTGCATTATATTATATTGCCTTTAAGAAATCTTATATGAATTGTTTTGCTTGATTAATTAATTTTTAAAAGTGCATATAATATGCGAATTTTCGTTATTTACTTCGTCGGTATTGTTTTCTTTTTTCTCCATGAAAATTAAAAAAAAAATGTCATTTCTATTGCATTTTCAGAGAACACCTCTGTTTTTAGATGTATAATAACACAGAGTTGCATATTACAGTAGAAAAGTGGAGTATGTTGTTTAATAGTAAGGTCAACATAGTGATTTTTTCAAAACTGCAAAGGGGAAATACTTCCGACTTATTAAAAAATATAATCGATATACATAAACCGACTGATTTATCATCGCATAGCCTAGCCGGCTGAACCTAGAATCATGTTATGTTAACAGACGATGTATTTTATAGTTTAATTAAAAAATAACCGGACAATTGTCTTCTTCTTTTTGTTCTTATTTGAACTTTTATTAATATTGATTCAATAAACATAAAATTAAAAATACAAGGTTAGTTATTGTTACTTTATTATTATTTAACTGGTACTTTTTGAAATTTCTATATTATATATTAATATATATGAATTAAATCATTAATTCAGGGCTCTGAATGATTTAAAAGCCAATTTAATATAATGGTGTTTTTATTATACGATAACTAGGGATGCCAAACGGGAATTCCCGATTCCCGAAAATCCCGGGATTTTCGGGATTTGAAAGTACCGAAAACCGGGATTTTAAAAAATGAAATCCCGGGAAATTTCGGGATTTTAAAATCCCGAATTTTTAAGTATTTTTCCGCTATTTTATACATTATAAAGTACTTAATAAGAGAATTTAAAAAGTTTTTGGACTTAAGATGACTCTACTAACTTACAAGCTGAAATATCAAAAAAAAAAGTAAGAGTGCTATATTCGGCTATGCCGAATATGCTTTTCTATAAACATCAGGGTGATATTACTCAACAAATTTACTGATAGGACCTTATATGAGAGGTAGGGTGAATCATTGACCATTTTTATAAAATTTTTCATAATTTTTTTAGACCAATTTTGGTTCATACACTTTCCGGTAGGAAGATTTACGTTCCTATAAAAGTTTCTTAGCTTTTGGCGAGTAAGAAACTTACTTATCTCAAATTTCATCTCTACACTCGTACTTGTAAGCCAGTAATGAGCGTTAAAGTATTTATCTGAATGGGACCTTATGTAGGGGTAGGGTCAATTATGAACCGAAACACATAAAACTTGGTAGAGAGATTTTGGCTCGCATGAAACATATGTGTATCGAATTTCATCGCTATACTCGTATTTTTAAGCCAGTAATGAGCGTTAAAGTCATTTTTTTAACGGGACCTTATATGGGGGTAGGGTCAAATATGAACCGACCCACATAAAATTTGGTAGAGAGGTTTTGGCTCGTCAGGGATTTACGAATATCAAATTTCATTGCTATACTAAATAGGCATAGATACTATCGGATATATAAAAATAACAAGTACGAAATTATAGGCGGGCGAGGCCGACCATATAACCCCATACACCAGTTATGAGAGTAAAATGTAATTTAGTTTTCATAATAAAAGTATACCTCGCCTCCGATATATCCTAGCACTTTATTGTTAAAAAACTATTTTTCTGAAATATGCTTGGGGGATCCTCATAAAATTTGGATCGTCGATCCCCATAAAATTTGGAGGGCGAATTTACGGTTACATAAAATGTTTTATGCTGAATTTCATTGCGTTCTCTTTTTAAGCGAATTGTGGACACTAATTCTTTTTTAAAGCTGTGTTTTGTATGGGGGCTCGGATCAAAAGCCCGATCATTTCAAATTTCATCAGCGTATTTTAGGACAGTATAAAACAAAAGCACTACTCCGGAGAAACCCAATATACCATCCCTACTAAGGGTATAAAAAGGGCAATAAATAGGCATTGATACTATCGGATATCTATAATGGAAGTCAACCTGTCAATAAGATGGCGAGAAGATAATTCCCTTGGTTAGTGAACACGGGATATAAGGTGGAGGAGATATAGGTGCAGTACAGGTGCTCTATGTAGCCTCGTATGGATCCCCATTACACATACTATTTAAATATTATTTGGAAACCATTGTAAATTTGGATATCATGGGTATTATTTCAGGTTTTTATTCTACTATTCAGTGCCTGGGATGGAAAGATTTTTATTCTAAGTATGTACTTTGAATTAATTTGTTTTTCTTTTCACAAAATGCTTATTGGAAAGTAAACACCTACTAAGAGTATTCATATTGCAATATGAAATAAAACATTTTATTTTTGTCGGTAAATTATTAAGATTTTTTGAATTTTTTTTATATTTTTCGGGATTTAGAAATCCCGAAAATCCCGGGATCCCGATATCGGGATTCCGGGATTTATTTAAAAATCCCGAATCCCGGGATTTCTAAAAACCAGTCCCGATTGGCATCCCTAACGATAACCCTATAAGAAATGAATGACCGAAACTAACACATACAAAATGATTTTACTAACACACACGCAACATTTTTTTTTATAGAATTGTCGAAAAAAAATTTAATGGATGATTCCATCAACAATGACAGTCAAATGACCGGTAAACTGACCGTTACTGGACCCAATGTGTGGTATAGGGTTGAATTTGCATATGAAAGAATGAAACAACTACATTTTGATTAAAATGTATTAAAATTCATATTTTGATCAACAATGACAGCCAAATGACCGATCAAATGACTGTCACTGTGTTACAGAGTTGTATTTTTCGTCGTTACAAATTAATTGTTTCTGCGAAAGCCAAAGATCAAGAAGCGAAAAAATAAAAAAATTACAAAGTCTTTAAATTATTAAAAATAAAGAGAATTATTATAAACTAAATTTTAAAAAAGTTCAGGAAGTGGATCAGAAGATAAACAATTCGGAGTTTAATCAATCAATGGTAACATAAATATGTACTTATGATTTTTATATTTCGATATTTATGAATACTTATGTATTTCTTTACAGACAACTTATTTTCAAAAATTAATAGGAGCATCAGAGGACTTAAGATTCTGCGAGATATGTAAAATGGTGAAAAGACTGGTAATTTATGTATATGATTACTATATTAATAAAATTAACAATATATATATATTAAAATATCAATAAATTGTGTTTTATTATAAATTGGTATAGCCGTCAGATTTGACGGATATATTCATCAAGTGTGATTAGTCAACAATGACCGATTAATGCATCATTTTTTTATTTGTTAACTGTGATGGATATATCCATCAAGCATGATTAGTCAATCATGACTAATATTTATATCATCCATGATTAGTAAACAACAAAAGAGTGAGCAGCTCAAATATATGTTTTAAAGTCGATAGAATTCATAAGTGCGAGGGTGATGCAACATCACATGTACACAAATGTTTCCATCACTTTTTACATATTGCCCTTAAGAAAGTGATGGGAGCTTTGTTCTACGCAATGATGGGTATATTCTCAGTAGTGACAGTCAATTGACCGGTCAAATGACTGTCACTGTTCTTATAGGGTAATGTTCCCAAGTGCTGCTTTTGACAGTACTTTTTACTACTACAATATTTTACATCTGTGTAATTTTTGTTTTTTTTCTTGGAATCTTTAGTATTTTTTTCACTTCATTCATAAACAATACATTTTAGAGAAAAAAGTGGGAAAATAATTAAAAAAATATTACAATAATTTATGAACTCATTTAATTATCATGAATTCAAATACATTAGTTAATGGTATTAGTGAATCTCCAGTTTCTGGAGAAATCAAACCCATGGCCGATAAACGTGATTTGCTGGCTTTACTCAAACTCATCAAGAAGTATAATCTTAAACAGACTGAGGAATTGCTATGCCAGGAGGCAAATATTAAGCCGGATGAATTGGAAGAAGTAGATGATAAAGAAATTACCACGATTTTATCCACCGCCTTAGGGGAAAATGTAGAAAATACAAGTGGAGAAGGTAAACCAGGACCAGGAAGTGATCCTGAATTGTATGATGCTGCCTATAGAGATTTGCGTAATTTTGTTGATGAATCCTTGGATATTTATAAACATGAATTGTTTATGGTCTTGTATCCTATACTAGTGCAAATATATTTTAAGCTAGTAGCGGGTGGTTATGCCAAGTCGGCTAGAGAGTTTGTGGAAAAATATGGACCCGACTTGGACTATTATTACAGGGAAGATTTACAAAATCTATTGCTGATAACCAAACGTTCAGAAATGGAAAATAATGATTGGTATACCTCCATGGAAACGGATAAGTTTATCATACGCATGTCCCGCGATGCTCATTCATTATTTAAACGTCATATCCAAGATCGTAAGCAGGAGTTGGTGGCTGATATTGTGGCCAAGTATTTACACTTTGATACTTATGAAGGCACTGCTAGATCCAAAATACAATGTAATGCTACCGCTGGTTCTTTAATTGGTGAATCGCGCCGACAGGATAATAAAATAAGGGTCTATTATGGCTTATTAAAGGAAGTAGATTTTCAATCTATGACTACGCCCGCTCCCGCTGCTGTAGAAGAAGAAGATGACAATGATCCTGATGCCCCCGATAAGCCCAAAAAGAAGAAACCTAAGAAAGATCCTCTATTTTCTAAAAAATCCAAATCAGATCCAAATGCGCCCTCCATGGATCGTATTCCCTTGCCCGAGCTTAAAGATGCTGATAAATTAGAAAAGCTTAAGGCCTTAAGAGAAGCCTCTAAACGTGTGGCACTTAATAAAGAATCATTGCCCTCTATATGCTTATACACAATACTAAACTCCCACAATAGTGTTACTTGTTCGGAAATTTCTGAGGATTCCTATATGATGGCTGTGGGTTTTACAGATTCCAGTATAAAAGTATGGTCTTTAACACCCTCCAAATTGAGAGAAATGAAAAATGCTGAAATGCTTAAAGATATCGATAAAGATGCCGAAGATGTTTTAGTGCGCATGATGGATGATAGAACTGGTGAATCGGCTAGAACATTTTATGGTCACAGTGGACCAGTCTACAGATGTGCTTTTGCTCCAGAAAAAAATATGTTACTCTCCTGCTCAGAAGACACCACTATTCGGCTGTGGTCCCTGCACACTTGGACGTGTATAGTGGTTTTTAAGGGTCACTTGTTTCCTGTTTGGGATGTCAGATTTTCACCTCATGGCTATTATTTTGCTTCTTGTTCATATGACAAAACGGTACGTCTTTGGGCTACGGATTCTAATCAACCATTAAGAATTTTTACGGGTCATCTTTCCGACGTTGATTGTGTGCAATTCCATCCCAATTCCAACTATATAGCCAGTGGTTCTAGTGATAGAACTGTTAGATTATGGGATGTTTTAACCGGGCAACTGGTTCGTCTTATGACTGGTCACAAGGGACAAATAAATGCTTTATGTTTTTCCACATGTGGCCGTTACTTGGCATCAGGCTCCTCCGATCATCATGTCCTAGTGTGGGATTTATCGCATGGTCAATTGGTTACCTCCTTGGTAAGACATACTGGCTCCATACAAACCATGTGTTTCAGCAGAGACGGCACTGTTTTGGCAGTAGGCGGTCTTGACTGTTTCCTCACGTTATGGGATTTTACCAAATTGACTGAAGACTATATAACACAAAGCACCAATGCTTCGCACAATCCTGAGATTAGTGAAGGTGATACTTACTTATTGAGAGCTTTTCCCACCAAATCAACACCTTTTATGACATTGCATTTCACACGACGAAACTTACTCTTGGCTGTGGGCACCTTCAAATCATAAATTTTATTCTTAAGTTAATATTTTTCTTTTAATTTTCTTTTTTAGTTTGTAAGTAAATGTTCTTCAATTCATTTATTCCCAATAAAGAGTTAAGATGTGTAATTTAAAAAAAAGATAATAAATGATTTATAAAATTAAAATAGTTTTTCGAACTTAATTACTGTATTCCATGGGAACACATTCTTCTGCTGCCACATGCGTAGGCGAAGAGCCGTCTACCAAATGATCTGTTGGCTCACTATCTAATGATGGTTCATTACTAAACATTTCCGCCGGCACTGTTGCTGGAGCACGTTCTGGTATCAAATCCATAACCGAACGTTTAGACAACTGTCTTTCCACCTCTGCTTGAGCTTGCTGATTTACACCAACTACATCTAAGTGATTGAAGGCTGGGTTAGCTATTTGATCAGAAGTTTCATTGACAGGAGTTGGAACAGAGTTCTTCTTTTTGCGTCCCCGTGTGGAACCGGTTGCGGAACCATTCACACTTTGTTCTAGTTTACGCCTTTGAAAGAAATATTAAAACAGTTACTTGAGTAACTAATTATAAAACTTACTTTTTAATCTCCTTTGTAGCCTCATCCTCTGAAGATTCTTCAGTTTCTTCACTTTCCGAAGAAGTATTTTCAGGTTTCTCATATTGCAGCAGACGATCCAAGAGAAATGCTCTATCCCTAGATACTTTGAGCAAACGTCTCTGATTCGATCTTAAAGCATCTTGGAAAAATTCATTTTCCTAAAAAAAAACAATTTATTTTATTAAGATTTATAGTCAATATTCTTTAATCTTCACTTACATAGATCAAAAATTTTAGTTTTCTCTTTAAATACCTATACTGATTCTTATAATCCACATTGCTGCTGGTGGCACCTCCTCCACCCTGTCGACTTTCATCATTATCTTGACTATCTGAATCAGTGTCCTCATTCAATCCCATGTTTTGTTCATTATTTTCATTCTGTTGTGCTGCTTGTTGTTCATTGGCCAGACTACGACAATACCATCCATCTAACATTTTATTTTTATCCAGTTTTTTAAGATTTCTAGCAAGATGGTTAAAAAACAATCGTGTTTGTTTACTTTTTTCTTTTTGCTAGAGGTGGTAGTTTTTATGTGATGGCAACTAATATCGATAGCGATGTACTCGATTAGTTAGAAATAATTTAGTGATGATAACTTACTTAAGCAAATATTAGCGTTTTTTTTTTTTTACTTTAAAAATTTAATAAAACTGGCGTTTTTAACAGATTTAAAAAATTTCTAAAAATTTTAAAATATATATAATTTTTAATTTATAGATATGCGACTTGAATTATGAAATACTCTGTAAACTCGATTCGAAAACAATTATATCTTATATATAAAAGCGCAGAATATTCAGTATTTATATTTTATTGCATCATTCACCATATGATTAAAATTTATAATTTATTCGTTATTTTTATAATAAATATTAATTTAAAATATCGAAATAAAAATTGTTTTCCAACACACAAAAATATAATTTCTTAATATAGATTAAAAGTTAGACCATCATTCTACTGTAACAATTTATTTTCATTTTCTGCTATCCACTTTTCAGCTTTTTCCAATAGACCTGGCACCTTTCGAAATTCATTCTCCGATCCGCCCACTACACCTTTTCTTACAAAACCATCTTGTGATTTATTCAATACACCCACAGCACTTAATTCTTGACTATTTACAGCAGGATTATTACGGAAATTTGTAATATTTAAATGATCCAACAGCAGAGGCATTTTAGACTCGGCCAAAGGGCACTCTAAAAAATTTGCAATTTTTTTAATAGAATCTTCAAGATTTGCCACCATATCCTCATATTGAAGATACAAAACATTAGAGTCGTTTTTGTGTTGTTGCGCTTCTTTTAGATGGCTATAGTAAGGCATCCAGGGATCTAACAAAGAAATACGATTTAATAAAGAAGATATTAAAGTAATAGTAAAAATTTACTGGAGTTACTTTGTAATTCGATTCGAAAATAAAAATTCGAAGTAATTTTCTTTCCAAATCAAATTACTGATTGAACTCCTGTTAAACATTACTTAGACTCCTTTCAAAATAACCCCAATAACGTTCAAAATCTCCCACATAACCCTGAGTTCGAAATAAACGATTGAGATGATAAAAAGAAACTGCAACATCTTTAGGTCGTCGGGCTACATAAATGATCTGTATGGAAGAATTATATAATTTACGAAAAATATAAATGTTTTATTACATATATTAAACTTACTTTACTTTTCTGTTCCTTGATACTGGGCGGCAATAAAGAGAATGGAAAATGTGATTTAATAAAACGTCTTTGTGTATTTGGCATATCCGAAAAAAGTTTATAACCCGGTACTGATATGGTCTCTATAAATTCTTGATTTTCTTTACTATGTGCATTCTCCTTTAAAAGTTCTTCCTTAATAACGGGATGCATAAATAAATGGAATCTAAAAGGAATTAGAGAACACATTTATCAATTACTATAGTGCTGAAGTCTAGGCTATAGACCTGTCTACAGTCTTGTCTATACTCTAGCTTATTGTTTTCTTTTTGTACTTACTCAAAAAACGGAAATCTTTGTGTTAATGGTAGGCTTTTTGCCGTTTCAAAATCCAAATTATTTGCCAACAACCAAACCAATTCCTGAGTCCAAGTAGTACCGGAACGAGGGAATGTTACTACCCAAATATCATTAGGACGAGCTTGAAAATTATAATAAGATTCAGCTTCTTGCTTATATTTAAGTGGGAAGAAATACTTCTCGGGACCAACTTGTACAAAACCATCCTTTTCGCCTAGTATAACAAAAAATCCATAAGTTAAAAAAAAACTTAAATTATCTTCACTTTACCATGAAAATATTTTAATAGTTCCTCGTTGGTTTTTTCATCGACTAGAGAAATTTCGTAGGGAAATTTTAATTTTGTTTTTAATGCCGCCATTCTATTAGCAACTGTTGAGTGTACAAGGTATATGAATACAATGTTAACAGCGTAAGTGAAATTCATTTATAATTTCTTATTTGTTTATTAACTATATAAAATAAAATATGTGTGTTTGTTTGCAATGAGACTAATAACAACGACTATCTGCTGCGTCAACAACTATATAACTACACATAGACCTTGCAACCAGTTTTTGTCTCTTCTTAATGGTTACAAAATAGAAACAAATCTTACAAGACTGTAACCGGTTTTTTGATAATCATCGGTTGTAATAATTACTATAAATGTTCTTTAATAATTAAAGTATGAACATTTGGTGCAGATTTAAAAAAACTCTGTTTAGCTGTTATAGATATGATATCGAACGAACAAATTTTAACATCTTGTAATTGAGGAGATTTTGTTAAGAGTTAATCCAATATATTTGATTACATTTTTGAAATAAAACCATTTTATTGTATTGTAAATAATTTTATATTTTTGTTCGTTATTAACTGGAACAATAAAGGAGATAAAAAAATAAATAGTGTAACATTTTCCACATAAATTTCTTAACAAACTAAAAAAAAAATTATACATACATATATATTTTTTAACGATTCACAAGAAACGAATAATTGCGTACTCTAGAAAAATGGCCATAAACCTGCAATGTAATTTAAACGCCAGTAGAATTACAAGCAAAAATATGAAAATAAATTGTATGTGTATGTGTGTGTGTGTGTTTATATATAAAAAAGCATTAATAAATTCTTATCTGTTAGGGTTAACGATCTGCTGAGTTTCTTTGCAAGAAATAAATAACTCTGGAAATTAACACTACATATGTAAATAGTCCATAAGAAAAGGTTTATCATCTGGACCGTATGGTGTTAGGGGAACATCATAGGGCAAAGGAAATGGCGGTATACCATCACGTGGTGCACCCAAAGGAAATGTATCCTCTCCGATCTGAAATTATAAAATAATCGGAAAAAATGTTCATTGATTTTAAAATTTAATCTGGTTCTGCTTATAATGGAGACTATATCAGTGTACAGTCGTGACAATAGTGCTGGATATTAGTCGAGACTAATATCCAGTCTATAATCCAGTTTATAGTGGAGAATATAGTGCAGTCTATAAACGAGATTATAGTCGACACTATAGGCCAGTCTATAGACGAGAATATAGGCCAATATCTCGCCGAGACTATAGGCAAATCTGTAGTCGAGACTATAGTCTATAGTAGACTTTGGTCTAAAATCTACACTACAGTTCAATCCATATTCCAAACTATAGTCTATAATCAAGAGTCATGTAATGCATATCATTGAGGCTATATTCTAGAGAATCTAGCGCTGGATGCAGATTATAGTATATAACCGAGATTATAGTTCAGTCTATAATCAATAATCATGACTATAGGACAGCCTACAGTTAAGACTATAGTACTGTCTATTATCTATAGTCGAGATTGTTAACAGATCTAGTCTATAATCGATATTATAGTGCTATAAATATGTAAATGGGTCTATAGTAGTCTTTGACCAGTGTATAGTCGTCGAGTCTATTTTCTAACATTGTCTAGAGGAAACATCAATGGAGACTATAGTCCACTCTATAGAAGAGACTATTGACCAGTCTATAGTCCCATTAAATATAAAAATTAAAAAGAAAAACTCACCACAAATTTTGGCAAAAACAGGACACCAACTTCATAATTAGCAATACGCAGACAAGGAGATATGTTAACGTTTTTATTATAGCAACCCCAGGCAGCCTTTGACAAATTAGCCGATGTTAAAATAAACCAATAAACAGACTTATCTTCCAAATTATATCTGGTATAAGACTTAATGTGAGGCATAGCACGAGAACGATGGCGTAACTTTGAACTCCACTGTTGTAGATATGTTTTAAGCCATGGCTGTTTGTCATTAGTACTTTTACTGTAAGGTAAACAGCCACCGCCCAACATGCCATCATGACTGCGACTGACATTACTATAACTGGGATAGATCATTTTAAAGGGTGGCAGCTGTCGTATACCCAAAGGCATGCCATCTTTACGTAGACTGTTTAGAAAGTCATGTTGTATCCATGCTTGAACATTGACACCCAAACTGCCAATACTGGAACTTTGACATACAACGGGAATTTTTTCATCGACAGGACCACAATGTTTTTGTAGAAGACTACCAACACGTGGATGGCCCCAGGGATGACCGCGGGGTCCTTCTCGATGTCCTCCGGGTACGGAGCCGATAAAGAAAACACTGTGCGAAAACAAAATGGAAAAATAGGAATAAAATCAATAAATGGACATTGCACCAGCTTTATGTAATTTTTAAGAACCGTAAAAAATAGAAAATGTTATTTCCATTGAATATTATAAGAGTTCCTATTAAACGGAATCATTAAAGGAAAGTTTCGTTAATCTACTTACTTTACAGCGCTAAAATCAGACTTTCGTATACGCGCAATCCATGGCTGCAATTTAGCACATTTATATTCCACCAAATATAACATTAAATCTTGGCGAAAATTTGTAGGACTTTCACCAGATGCTGTGTCCGCTTCTTCCGGCAAAGCTGGACATAGAGGACTTATCCATATGCCCTGAGTACGATTATGCCAATCATCTTCATAAAGATTGGCGGTTGATACCACCACCCTCATTGAACCATCTTTGTAGCCCAGTAACATAACTTTGGAATGTGAAGTGGCAAATGGAGTGGGCATTTTAATCTTAATCGCTGTTACCTGAGGTTTATGTTTATCGATTGTTAGTAATTCTGGAGTGTCATCACCATATAAAACTAATAAAGGAGTATTCCTTGAAAAAAAAAATAATAATAATAAATTAAATTATTATATGCTAAGTAATTTGCTCAAAGTGGTGAAATAATTACAGTATGCCGGCAAAATAGTAATGACCCAAAAGCCAGCCAATATCCACCATAAAATTAATTTGCACCGTACTCTCTATAATGCCCAAACTTTCATCTAAGATTTCTGTTATTTATACCAAAAAAGAAAAATTAACCATTTTTTAAAATTTCCTGAAGGAAGGAAATACCTTGCATTGTTACGCTTAAGGCTTCATTATGTGTAGGCTTCGAATCGGTTATGGCAGTAAGGAAAAAGTTATACGGTGCTGCTGCTTCCAATTTTTTAGCCATTTTTCCCTTTTCTACTACTACCGGTATATAGTCCCTAATGTTGCGTGCTATTTTTTGCTTCTTAGCCAAATTTGAATCATCACTTGCTTGCCGGGCTGTAGACGAGCTGGGTTGTGGTGATTTAGAACGTTTATCACTCGTTTTAACAGTTTCTGCTTTCAAGGAGCTGGAAGAACCTTGAGGATTCTCTTCCTTCTTTTTGGGTTTTGCATCATCTTTAGGGAACAACTTTTCCAGTAATTTGAGTTGCTGCAACAGAATATCAACATTGGAAGACAGTTCATTGGGTATTTTGTATTCATTAGTTTTGGGGTCTATACCCTTCTGGTAAATGTTGTCCACTGTAAAGGAAAATTTTTAGCAGATGTTTTTATATTTCTTTCTATATGTTTAATAATATTTTGTAAGGCTTACAATGAGGATGAGCGAATTCTCCAAAATGTATAGGATTCTTGCGATAACATTTCTCCGCATAAGGACACGGCTTTAAATTAGACATATTTTTCCACAAAATTTTTACCAACAATAAAAACTGTTTAAAATTTTCAAACAAAAAAAAAACAAAAAACTGCGGCGGGCAGCTGAATCAAGACGCCGTTTAGTATTGAGATTCACGGCCATAGTAAATACTTCAACTGAGGTCGTCTTGAAAATAGAAGGCAATTTTGTTAAAATTATCTTTAAAGCTGCAAAGTTTTCTAAATTTGAAATCGGAATTTTTTATTTTTTAAGTTCTTTTCAGGATGTACCACTTATTACATCATGGTTCTTTTATTCTTCAGTCGATTATAGACGTTCGCAGAACATTCAAAAGCCTGCCGCCAGCGTCTTTGATTTTGGTGCCTCAGATCTTAACAACGCTAAATGGCAATGCTACCAAATTAACAACTCTGTAAATAAATTAATGAAATGTGCACAGTGGTGTAACGTTTTAAATTCGTTATAACTTTCAATCTATACGATTCTAAACGTATAATTATATTAAAAAATCAATGTTTAATGTTTTTATTAATACGATTTTGTCAAATAATTTATAACTTTGTGAACCTTTTATTTTCTTTGGAATAGCTCCACAGGATAATTTTCATACAATATTTGTTCTATTAACCTAAGGATTACATTATAGCTCCTAAACCAAAAGAGAGGAAGAAAAAATTTTACGCAAAACATTTTTATATATAAGCTGAAAACTTAAGCGGCTTCCAGCCGAATTTAAGACGCCGACGAAATGTTTAGTTACAGCCGCCGTCGTTAATTATGGTCGCCCTGTTCTCTAGTGGCAGCACTAATTTTCACATTCGTAAAAAATTTTCTTCTTGTTTCACGCGTAGTTTACGGAAAAGTCAGTTTTCTTATTAATATTAATCGTGTTGTTGTTAACAAAAATTTCGTCTAGCATTTTGTGTTGATTAAGTTGATTACATAAACAATAAATAAATTAATAATATAAATAATTTCAAACGATCTAAACAACGAGAAAGAAATAAAATTATTACGAGAAGAAAAAATGAATATATTCAATTCCTTTTTGTTAGACTTATTCGTTCCCCTTGTGACTTTGACGTAAATTAAAGAAGAGAAAGAGAAATAAGAGAATAAAAAAATAAATAGAAAATTCATAATTTATAGCCAAAAATAGAAAACGCGTAAATAAATATTAAATTTGTTTGAAAATTTGATAAAAATAAACTAAATTTTTAATTGAAAAGCGTTTTAAAAGAAACGGTGCTTTAGTAATAAAACTGTGATTTTTGTAAATTTTATTAACGAACATTTTGTTTGATATCTCCTGATCTACCCCCTGCAAATCAATGGTGCAATTATAAAAACGAGGAATCCATAAGTAAATACTCGAACTTTACTTTCTTCCTTCTACTAGTACCAGTAATATAGTAGCTATACATATTGGCAGATACATACTCTACTGCAAAAGAAATTTTAGACATAAAAACCAAATAAGCGCAGCATGCACTCTTCCCTCAGTTGGACTTCGAGACTTATTTCGCGTGCCTTGCGCAATGGTTTCTCCACACTAATCGAAACAGCTACAAATGCAACCGCCTCTGGAGGGGCTAGTAAAGCTCGTCCTCATTTTATATCAGTAGTGTGTGGATTTCCCAAAGATTTCTTAACCTCTAAATATAAACCTGGTAAATATGGTGAAGATTCTTGGTTTAAAACCTCCACATCAAATGCTGATGTTTTAGGTAAGTGTTTTTTTAATCTGTATATTTTATGAAAAGTGTATAAAGAAAATCCATCTGCTTAACTAGTAATACGGAAAACACGTGTAAAGGACTTTAAATTGATTAAGCCGACAGTTTTATACACATGTTATCTATTGTTAGTCTATGCAGTGGTAGTCTGTTTGACTATTTGCCTGCCTATTTTTATGTCTTTCCCTTTATCTACATACATGCTCTGCTTTTAGTCACAGTATATCATTACAAAGCAGGGTTGGTAAAGTTAATGTAATGTTACTTTTGTGGGTACAATTCGAATTTAATGAGTTCTTTGGAAGCGTTATATGTACTAGAGTCAAGATTCAAACTATTAAAAATTTTTCGAATTAGTTTTCAATCAAAATTATAATTTTCGTAACTGTTTCGACCTGTTCTATATTGGAGTTGAGATTTATCTATTTATGTTCGAAATTGTCGAGATTCATTCTATAGAACCGTTATCTAATCAGTTCAATAATCAATTATTTTTGTTCGAAATTGTTCTGGTTCTTGATTAGTTTTAAAACAAACTGTTCCAGAATTACAGCGATTTTTGTTTAAAATAGGCTGGTACTTTTATTATTCGATTCCAATGTAAAAAGTTCTGTGGAAGCGTTATATTAGAGTCAAGATTCAATCTATATAACCATTCTCCGTTTGTATAGATACAATTTTCGAAATTTAATTTCCCATCTTTGGTCTCTATAGACAGCGTTTCTACTGCGTCTATTTGTTTGTTGTCTGCTGTAGACTTTTTTCTGTCTGTTCGTTAAGATATTTTTCTTATATTTCCATTTTTTATTTTGTATATTCATTCTATTATTTGCTTATGTTTTTAACACCACCATGTGACTATTTTTTTATTCATACAAATATTTTATAAATAATTTGTAGTGTGTATTGAATATGCATGTATCGAGAGCTGCATGTGTTTCTCTTAATACAATGATTTGAAATTCGAGTATTCCTAATGCATCAAAGTATTTGTATATGCTATAGATAGATTTTAAATTGTTTATTTTAGAAATTAAACACTTACGATTTTATTTATTTAACACTTAAAATATAAGAGGAGGTCCTTTTTTAAAAATAAAAATCGATTTTCAAGTGGATCATTAAAATAAGGATTTTGGAATGCTTGAAAAAAAAAACATGTGTTGTTAGTTAGTTGTTCCCTGCTATGTACCTCATTAGATAGAAACATTTAACAATTTAGTCTAATTCAAATCTACTATATTGGACAATGGTTCATAATTGTCCTTTGTTGATCGAACTATGTTTTTTTCACAAAAAAGGACCAATTTTTAGTCTCAAGATTATGTAGTTACGCTTCAGTCCCCACCCAAGAGCACATATGTAATTGTCCTGTACGGATCCGTTTATGGTTAAATAAACGAACCAGTCTCTATAATCAAAATTATTACATTTTATTTTAACTGATAGATATTCCACATACATAGATGAAGTGTAGCAAGTATAGCTTACTTGTCTTTGTAAACAATAATAATTCATTTGTATAAACAAATTATTTGGAATATATTAAACATTCTCTTTTTGTTTTGTTTTTACTTTTTAGAAAATATTTAAATGTTTGTCTTAAATCATTATTAAAACAGAATTTTTGAAACCAGTATTTTTTTTTTCATTGCAAATGTTTAAGCTTTTTTCACTTTGTTTTTAACTGCTAAAATGATCTCAATTACTTGCAAATACTCAAAGCATTGCGTTTGTGTTTTTTACGTCTATCATTAAGTCTAAAGTTCATTTTCATCAAAATCTATTAAAGCAAACTAAAGATTGATTGAATATTTGCCATAAAATATTTAAATGTGTCATTTATTATGTTAAATTGTTAAGTTGTAAACAAAGTTAAATATTAAATTAAGGAAAATAAAGGAATATGCCAAAGTTCATAATTATTTTAATCAATAATACATTACAAAACTAGTAAAAGATTCTATATAAATCAAGAAAATATAATTTATGTTAAATTGATCGAAATTTTAATTTGAAACACGAGTTTTTAATGCTTTAAATTTATTTACTTAGAACAATAGTTAATGTCGAAAATAAGTCTCTTATCAGTGTGACAGTAATTAAAATTTAATATTAAAGTATCATACGTTTTATTTTAATTCCTTTTTATTTGAATTATTGAACTTATAAGCAAAGTATGATCTTATAAATCTTTAAATATTATTTTATATTTATGTTCATTATATTCTTTCTGATTTTATTTAATAGAAAATTGAATCACTGGGGGTCCAAAACAATACAAACAACAATTAATATAAACAATTTAAAAAATTTCAGTACAAATTTCTCATAAGAAAAAATAACTCCTAAAATTCATAAAAAAGTGCGATAACACATTCTTCTTGAGTTTTTCTTAAAAAGTAAACTGTAGAATTCATAGTTTGCTTCTTGTGTAAACCATTTTCAAAAGTATTTAACCCAATTTTACCAAGAACGACAGAAAATTCAAAACTGCTTATGAAATCTTATTATCAATAAATAATACATTTTTGTTTTATGAATGATCAGCGTAATATAATATTGTTATGGGAAATATATGAGATTCTGACGTATAAGTATCATCACTTCGAATGAGAATGTATAACTGAGATTTTAAAGAAAATTTATGATAATAACACATAACAAAAAAACATTGTTATTGATAATATAAAGCAATAAAATGAGTCTCATCATAACAAAGGCTTTAAAGTGTTTTTTAAGTAAATCAAAACAACAATTTTGAGAATTTTGTTTATTTTCTAACGTAATAAATAAATAAAATAATATAAATTTGTTTATTTCGTGACATAATAAGCACGCAATTTGTACTAAAAAAGTACTAAAAGCTAATTTGAAAACCCTTTTTTGAAATAATAAGGGTTAAAATTATACACCGGCACGTCATGCAAATTAAGTTTATAGCAACATCTGTTTCTTAATTTTATCTATGTTAACTTGTTCGTAATTTTTACTATTCGTTGAAAAAAATTCCATAAGAAAACTCAAAATATGTATATGATGTTGTTTTTTTTTTTCAGAAAAAAACAGTTAGTCATTTGTGCTACCATGGTTTCTATTTTAAAAGTAGTCAAAATAGTTTGGCGTCTTGTTATACATTTCTTTATGATCTAGTTTAAACCTTTTTGTTCAGGCTAAAAAATGATTTTGGGTCTTCTTTTGTAGCATTATAATAATAAAAATATTAAGTTATGGGACCAGTCGGGTTTTTTTTACCCGATCCATATGATTAGGTTCATTGTGTCATACCTCCATACCACACAGCACATACTCAAGCTATTCAGTTCCAAACGTTATTAAACTGATGCATTTTTAGTATAAACCA